AAAATATATGTTGATGATGTATTCCTACTGTTTAATGATGTTTCACATGTAAAAATGTTTTTAGATTATGTCAACTCAAAACATGTCAACATACAGTTTACCTCTGAAGTCGAAGTAAACAACTCATTGTCTTTTTTGGATATCAGGCTTGAACGTGATGATAAAACCTTTAAAACCTCCGTGTACAGAAAACCTACCTTCACTGGTAGTGGTTTAAATTATTTATCCTTTCTACCCATGATGTTTAAAATCAATGCTATCAGAACTTTGTTGTACAGATGTTTTCATATTTGTTCAGACTGGCATTCCATTAACAGAACTACAATTCTTAGAAACTTCTTTTTGAAAAACAAATTTCCAATGTCTGTTATCCAATAACAAATAAGGTTATTCTTAAATAAGATGCTCTGTCCAAAACCAATGAATTACAATGTACCTCGGGATATCCGATACCTTAAACTACCATACTGGACACACAAGCTTTGTCTTACGAAAAAAACTACAGAAACTACTAAGCAACCATTTCCCACAAATCAATTTCAGAATGATCTTCACAAATTCCAGAACAATTCGTTCGTTCTTTCCGACAAAAGACCCTTTTCCTAAACATCTGTGCTCAAACATAGTGTACTCATACAAATGTTCTAGCTGTAACGCTAGATATATAGGTTCAACATCAAGGAATCTAAAGATGAGATATTGCGAGCACAAAGGAGTCTCTTATCGGAATTACGTCCGCTATCATCTCCCATGCACTCACTTATCCGGGATCATTCACTTAAAACAAATCATGAAGTAAAATTCGAGGACTTTTCAATAGTGAGAAAAACACAACTTAATAGATTTAAGAATCTTAGAATCACTACTACTGNATTTTTGTGAATATATATCATATATAATAGTAGTACTACTATATACTATCACTGAATGATTTACGTGCTAACATACACATACAGCATATATATCATAGCCTTTGTTTTATCACGATAGTTATTGTACTAGCTAGCGGGGTTATAGTCATGAACCATTATATATCCCTATAACGTAGTTATATATATGAGTCATATATATATATATATATATATATGTATATATATGGTGATACATATATATATAATCTATTAGGTGATAGTATTATATATATTTATACTTGCTTTTATATTTCTCATGTATATCACCCACACCTCACACACACATCCACACACAACAACAGCACACACACACACATCCACACACCACACGACACACACACCACACCACCCACACAACACACACACACGAGACACCCTCACACTTGCCTTTTACTATCTCTATGTAACACCAGACCATCACACGGACACGACACACACACACACACTCACTAGCATCGACATCACACACCATATATCTATAAATTGATCTGGCTGATATATATATGATGGGTAACTACTAGGTAGTTTCCATAGTGAGTTATATATAGTATTGACCGTATGTTATATGTTTGTATGTTAAGTTTTTGATGTCATATAAATATGTCACATAT